GCACATGGGCTAGACACACAGGTCACCAGTTTTCTAAAGGCAGAAACGAGACCAGGGAGATCAGCCAAAGGGCTGGCGCATATGTCTTCTGTGTGCGAGGCCCCAGGTTTGATCCCTGCCCTCATACCCCCCCCCCCGCCCCCATCAGCGCAGAAGGAGGCCAAGTATCTCCAGCAAGTAACTGTCTGACTCCTGGGCTCTGCTGGGTGGGGGGGTGAGCATGGCGGGCAGGCGGGTGGGTGCTGGGAGGGGTGCAGGCTCAGAACAAGTGACACAGATGGGTCTGGACCTCCCGCCCCCGAATAAGGCGACGGTGCTGCGGCTGAGAGACTGCCCTGAGAAACACGTGAGAGAGCATCCACACACAACGGCAATGGAAGAACACAAGGATGGTATCAGCCACCTGACGGGAGGGGGCCAGGACCAACGTGGAGGGAGGTCGTCAGGAGGAAGGGGTAGGACTGAGAGGCAGGGAAGGGTCAGGCATGAAGCCGTGAGCAACAGCACTAAGACCACGGGCAGAAGCTTACATACATTACATAGACATAGAGATACACACACACACACACACACACACACACATAAAACTTTCACATAGAGCTGGAATCCCCCTCTTAAAATTAACCCACAATTCTGTAGCATCAGGTACTTTAGTCCTTAGGGAAAATGCCAATGCCTTCCGCTGTAACTCAGGCTTCTTTTTGAGACAGAAAACGTCACCATCTTTCATTAGACACCCACCTCAACTCTTGGTCCCACCCACTATTCTCTCCCTCCCCTGATAACCTTGATGTAAACATCTGCTGGCTTGCTTACTTACATTTATCTGCCTTATTTATCTACATTGTGGCTATCAATAGGCACAGCGGGTAGAGTGTTTGCCTTGCACACGGCCGACCAGGCTGACCCGAATTCGATTCTTCCGCCCCTCTCGGAGAGCCTGGCAAGCTACCCGTGATGTACTTGATATGCCAAACACAGTAACAACAAGTCTCACAATGGAGACGTTACTGGACCCGCTCGAGCAAATCGATGAACAACGGGAGGACAGTGCTACAGTGTAGTACAGAACATATGTGTATACAGAAATACTGAAGGGGCCAGGAGGGTCATGCCATGGTTTGGAAGCCAGCCCCACATGCTGGGGGAGAAGGCAGTTGGGATGGAGAAAGAGCCACTAAGTCAATGATGGTTGGCGAGATCGCCCAGGATGGGAGACGTGTGCTGAAAGTAGACCAAGGAGCAAACATGATGGCCTCTCAGTATCTGTATTGCAAATCATAATGCCCAAAAGTAGAGAGAGAGTGTAAGAAGGATGGTATCTGCCACAGAGGCAGGGAGTAGGGGGTGAGGTGGGAGTGGCGGGTGGGACACTGGGAACAAGGGTGGTGGAAAATGGGCACTGGTGGAGGGACAGGCACTCAAGCACTGTGACTGAAACGCAATCATGCAAGTTTGTAACCGTATCTCATGGTGATCCAATAAAACTTCTTAAAAAAAAAAAAAAGTACTGAGAGGGGCCAGAGCAAAGTACTGCAGGTAGGGTGCTAGCCTTACACAAGCCTGACCTGAGTTACATCCCCACCACCCCCATATGGTTCCCCGAGGCCGCCAGGAGTGAGCCCTGAGCAGTCACAGGCTGGGGGTGCAGTTCCAGAAACTGACGTGGATGAGGAGCCCACAAGGTCATTCCGGCGAGTGCTCAGGGCTGACTCCTGGCTCTGTGCTCAGGGATCACTCCTGCCTGGAACCCACGGGCTCCTGACTCCCTGCCTTTGCCCTGGCTTTGCGACACCCTGCCCTCACACTGTGGGAGGGCGGGGAGGGGGAAGGAGAGGGAGAAGAAGAGAGAGGGAGGAAGAGAGGGAGAGGTGGGGGGTAGAGAGGGAGCGAGAACACAGAAAGAACCCTTCCTCTTCCTCGTCTGAAGCCACCAACCTCTGCCCACGCCTGACGTTCATGGCTTTGTACACACTCTCCCTAACGTGGGCTGCACGCTGAGGTCAAGGTTTAAACACAGACAGTGGAGTGGACACCCGAAATCCTCATTGCTGTCCACAGCAACTGGATATTTTTCCCCCTTTCTGAACAGGGTTCTACACAGGAGAAATTCTGGAGGCTTTTGTGTCCAAAGGATTAAGTTTTGTCACCTTTCTTAGGGTACTATATACCATGGGGGTGTGATAAGGTGGGAGGTGGAGGGCATAGCTGGACGGGCTCAAGCCTGGGGAATGGTCCAGGAGTCGGAGCAGCTCTGCCTTGAAAACAGCCCAGCACAGGCAAGAGCCATGAGGGAATGAATATTTTGGGGACTGAACGATAGTACTGTGGGGAAGGATTTTTGCCTGGCATGTGGCCAAACTTGCAGGCTATTGAATGTAGCCTGCCCACAGGGCAGAGTCTGGCAAATTCCCCGTGGAGTACCAAATATGCCAAATACCAGTAACAATGATGGGTCTCATTCTCCTAAAGAGCCTTGAATATAATCTCAGGGCTAGGATGAAAAAGACGTTACTGGGGCCTGCTCGAGGCAATCGACGATTAACAGGATGATGAAATGATGAAATGAAATGTGGCCAATCCGGGTTCAACCCCCGGCACCCCATCTGGTCCCCCAGCACCATCAAAAATAATTTCTGAAAGCAGAGCCAGGATTAACCCCTGAGCATGGCCAGGTGTGGCCCCCAATGAAGATATTATCAATCAAATGAAAGGGCTAGAAAGAACAGGGGCAGAGCACCTGGCTTGCAGGCAGCTAACCCAGGTTCAATCTCTAGGACTATGTATGGTCCCCGAGCTCACCCAGGAGTGATCCCTGAGCACAGAGCCAGGAGTAAGACCCAAGCACCTCTGGGTGTGGCCCAAGAGCGTCTTCCCCCTGGCCCCCCGCCCCTGGCATCTCCAAACCAAACCACCACAAAAATACAAAAATCAAATGGAGGCTACAGCCTTACCAAACCGCAGTCCTGTCAGGGAATCCGTCGCCAAAGGCACGTTGCAGGAGGCGGCCGAGTAGGCCCCAGAATCCGGGCAGCTCTGGGCCATCCTGACCATGCAGATGTTAGTGACGGTGTCACCTGGGTCAAGATTTGGCCCTGCTCTCCCTGCAGCCAGCCAGCAGGACATGTCCCGTTTCTCACTTCCCCTGTGTTCCTGACCCTCCCAGCAAAAGGCCACACACATGCATTCACACATTCACTCACACACACACACACACACACACACACCTCGGTGACACAGAGAGAGGTGACCACATACATCAAAGCCAGCAGAACCGGTGCAACTGTGAGTCAAACTATACCTAGTCAATTCATAAAAGAGTGGACAAAAATGAATTTGCTAAGGAGGTGCTGGAAGGGGGGGCGCAGTGGGGCATTGGTGGGGGTCACTGACAGTGATAGGGGGTTGGAGTTGGGTCAATGAGGACCCGAAATCCTGTTACTGAAAGCTGTCAGTCATGGTGCAGTTCCCCACCCCCCCCCACCCCCATTATTTTAAGAGCAGATACATAAAGGACTTCTGGCGCAGGCGGTCACGGATCAGCTCTGACAGTGCTGCTGGTATTGGGGGGAGCTGGACACACCCAGCCGAGCTCCGTGGGGGTGGGGGATGGGGGTCCCTCCCAGCCGTGCCCACCAGGGCAGCCTGAAAGACCAGAGTAGAGAGGACAGCCAAGGACAGGAATTCGGGAGGCGGCCACGGGAGGGCCACGGACCACCGGCTGGTGCCACGGAGCAACCTAGAGAGAGCAGAGAAGTGGGGTACAGGGTATGGGGGTGGGAGGGGAGATGGGAGGGACCACATGTCCCTCCACCCCAGCATACACAACAGGCGCTGCCTCTTGCCCTGCTGAGACAAGGGGTGCAGGACGCAGCTAAAGTCCATGGGGTCCCCGCAGGTGTTACCACCCTTCTCTCAGGCCATGCAGGAAAAGCGCAAAAGCCGGGTCCGAGGTGAACCCCCACGCCGCAGGCCATGCAAAGGCGGTCAGGGTGCGACTGGGGGTCCTGACGACACCCAGGGAACAGGTGTGCCCAGGAGCCCCTCCTTCCGGGGCGCCCCCACCGCGCACCTACCGCAGCCGTCCCGAGCGCCGCAGCCAGGCGCACCGCACCTCCCGTCCACGTGCTGTTCCGGGCGCCCACATCGCAAGAGCCCCTCCTCAAAACGCAACCTCTGCGGGGGCTCCGGCGACGCTCAGGGGACCCCATCGGACGCCCACGGCCGCACGTGCCACCTGCCCAGCCGGCCCCGTGGCTCCCGCCAAGGTGCCCGCGCCCAGGCGCACGTGCGCGCACCCGGGCTCCGGCTCCGTCTGCCGGAAACGGCTGGACCTCCTCAAGGAGGGGGCCCCATCTGGCGCTCCCCAACTTAGCCTGGGGTGGTGAGGCAGATCCACACCCATCTGGGGGCTCCACCCCCCTCCGTGGGCCCCCGAAAGCCTCCTTTCATCCACCCGAGCCTAAGTCGTCAGTGGTTAAAAATGAAACCATTTTTCCTTTTGATTCCTTGCACCTGACACTGTTTTCTTTTCCCTTCTCCTTACACTCCTTCCGCCTCCACCACCACCCCCTTGAGTCCCCAACACTAACCAGGAGCCATTAGTAAGAAAAAACCCAGCCAAGTAAAAGACTACGATGTAAAAGGACTGAATAATTCACCATTCCCTGGCAAAAGCTTCAACATAAAAGCAAGAAAAAAAATAAAACCCTAACTCCACGCCCTGCCAAGGATTAGTCTGGGAGCGAATAAGCCCCAGAAAGCTGACTTTGGAACCAAATACTTTAACTCCAGTTCCCCTCCCTTGGTGCATTAATCCATGGCATTTTCACACGTACAGACAGACACCTCATAATTTCAACTCTGGGTCACTAATTACCCATTTAAGCATGCAGGCTCTGCAGAGCCCAAGCACAGAGAGAGAGAGACATTGGCTTTACAAATAAAGACAAGCTCGCGTGCCGTCAAACTACTTGGTAATTAAGCAAGATATCATTTACCAGGCAGGAGGCAATCAATAGTTCCGAATCCTCTTTTGTCCAGGGGTAGGCTGTATATTCAAGGACGTTACTCTCGCCTGGCTGTTTGCACATGTAAGCACAGTTCCTCTCGAAAACCATGCGGATTCCTTTAAACAGGACCACGCTGGTGGTGCAACCCATGTCCGAGGTGTGGCCGCGCCGGTCTCTCAGCCAGCACTCATCCACATGCCCCTCATCTTCCCCGGCTCTCCAGAACCGTCTGCCCCTGGACCATCCTCCTGACAAGCAGCGCAGACACCCAAACGGCAGGGAAATGTCGAGCTGTCTTACCCACAGCCTGATCAAAAAAAAAAAAAAAAATTGCGGCTCTGGGTGTGAGTGGGGCGGGAGGTGCAGTGCTCACCTCGGGGTGCCCAGACCTCCAGGGTACCGCTCCCCCTTCTGGGAGCGCTCCGCTGCTCAGCCCACAAACAGGCAGACTGACATGTGGCCGGGAGAAGCCGCCCCCTCAAGCCATTTGCTTGGGATCGTCTGAATCTCAGAACCTGTCCAAAAAAAGAAGGGGAAAAAAAAAAAGCAAAAATGGGAAAGCCGGTGCCAGACAGCCGCCCGCTGCAGATGCTGCTGAAGGCACGGAGAATCCTCCTGGCGGGGAGAAGGCGCTCTCCCAGAATGCTTAGCCCAGCAGCCAGAGGAGCAAACCTTTTTTTTTCCTTGACCTAAATATGCTGTTTGTTTAATCCTGCATCCGCGTGGAGAAGAGAAGGGGGGGGGGGGGGGGGGGATCCAAAAATGAGTGAAATCGCCGAGATGCTGCTGCTGCTATGGAAACACGGGTGAGCCCACTTCAAACCACCTTGCGCTGGAGTGGGTGCGGGCTGCCGGCAGACACGGGGAGTGGAACCTGCTGGGTGAGCCTGCCTCCTGCCCACTCCCGCACTCTGCGGACGGAGGGTGAGCGGAGGGCTCTTCCGCCCCTGGCACCCGGGTCTGCAGCTGAGAGCGGGGGGCAGAGGGTATTCTGCTCCTTCTGACGCAGGGTGCTCCTATGCCAAGGTAAGCAAGCCGCCCGCTCTCGGGGGAAACTGGGCGACGATGTTTGGTGCACGAATAAGCCCCAATGAGTGGCCTCGCTGTAGATTGTGCTTGGCCACTCACGGCCACCCTTCTCGTGTCTTTGGGGAGCAGCTGATTGGGAAAACTGCCACTGAGAGGCTATTAAGCTGACTCATGCCATCCTCCTCCAAAAAAGTGAAAAACTATGTAAAAAAGAAGAAAGAAAAAATGAAAATGATTGGGTGGGGGGGGGGGGGGGGGGACAGGAGCGATAGTACAGCGGGTAGGGCGTTTGCCTTGCACGTGGCCGACCTGGGTTTGATCCCCGGCACCCCATCTGAGTATCACTGGGGGTAGGAATAACCCCTGGGTTTGGCCCAAAAAAGCCAAAATAAATTTTAAAAATATATATTGTGATGGATAAAGAGAGACACCCCCCCAATCCCACCCCCGTACCTGCCTCTAGAGATCTGCGGCATCTTTTTCTAGATGGTGCCTCATTTCATACAGCACTAGTTTGCATGTTCTTTCTCTAGATTTCAGGACGGAGTGAGTCGGAGCTGAAGGAGTTGAAGGTTGGTCAGAGAAACCCACGTGTGTAGTGAGAGCAAGCCTTTGGCAAACTCCGTGCAACCACATAATTCAAGATTTCCCTTTGGGGCAGGGACAGGGGTCCCAGCGAGCCAGGCTCAGGGCTGCTCCCAGCTTGGTGCCAGGGCCCAGCCCTGGGTTCCCACATGGAAAGCCTCTCCCTGACTCACATTTGTTTTCTCTGGCTAGTTCTATTTAGGTCCCTAAATAAGGTGGGGGCGGGGGGAAACCCAACCCTAAACTTCCTTTATCTTGTGCATTTTTACACAAAGTGTATCTAAGAAGAAATAAAAGGAGAAGCGGGATTGGAGCAAGAGTAGTATGGGTGAACGCTTGCCTAGCACACAGCTCATCCAGGTTCGACCCCCCAGAACTTCAGAGGTTCCCCAAGTCCCCCAGGAGTGATCCCTGAGTGCAGAGCCAAGAGTCAGCTCTTGAGCATCACCGGTTGTGAGCCCTCCCCCAAAGGAGGTGAGTTACTGGCCATATGCCAAAACCAGAATAACTGCGGATGGTTCAATCCCGTGTGGTACCAGTCTGGAAGGTGCAGCGGCTGAACAGTGGGGCTGGAGAGAGAGTCCAGGGGAAAAGTCCCTGCCTGTGGACAGCCAGCGCTGACCCCCCCCACGCCTGCTCCCCCAACATCACATGGTCTCCAGACATAGCCCTGGAGCTCCCTGAGTGCCTCCAGATGGCCCCATAGTCCATCCTCAAACCCTTGCACTGAAGCACCAGCCCAGTTGACGGGGAATTGCCAAGAAGGGTACAGGGGCTCCCCGTGTACCTCTCAGGAGGCACTAATTTAAATCAAATCAAACTTTTTTGGCAGGGGACAGCACACCTGGTGATGTTCAGGGATGACTGCTGGCTCTGCACTCAGGAATCACCCTGGTGGTGCTTGGGGGACCATACGGGAGGCCAGGATGGAACCCAGGTCAGCCATGTGCAAGGCAAGTGCCCTACCCACTAGATTATCTGTCCAGTTCCTGAAACCAAACTTTTAGAAAGGTTGACAAATCATTGATCTAGAGTGTTCAGGCTCTGAATGGTGATTTTATTAACCCAGCACAAGGGTGCTTAAGGTTCAACCCAGACACCAGAGGAATTGAGTTCCGACATGATATCACGGAGCTGGTGGAAAAATCATGTGGAAACTGTCAGCCTAGAAACGGAGGGCAAGGTTACAAAAGTGTTAATTCACTGTCTGAGAATCCAGAAAGTTAATCAATGAATCTAATTTTCATGCAGTAAGAGTCACAACTTAAAAAGCTCATTGAACGTAACTGAAAGTGGCCCCAGCAATATAAACTTGATGGATGAGGTCATTCTAGACACATCCTGGTGTGGAAATCAGGGACACTGAAGGTGGTGTTGAATCTTACAAAGGATCAGAAACGATAACCATGCAACCGTGAAGCTGCTTGTGTGTTCTATTTAGTTCTTTAAAAAAAAAAAACAACTAGATCAACAATTCAGAGAACATGAGAATCGAACCATCTCCTGAAACATTAACAAGCATCCAGCAAATAAATAAATTTCATTTTGTTGGGACTGGAACAATAGCACAGCAGGTAGGGCATTTGCCTTGCATGCGGCCGACCCAGGTTCAATTCCCAGCATCCCATATGGTCCCCTGAGCACCGCCAGGGGTAATTCCTGAGTGCAGAGCCAGGAGTAACCCCTGTGCATTGTCGGGTGTGACCCAAAAAAAGAAAAAAAATTTTTTTTTCATTTTGTTTTGATTTTGGGGCCACACCTGGCTGTGCTCGGAGCTCTCCCCTGGCTCTGTGCCCGGGATCCATTCTGGCAGCACTTGGGGGACCATACATGATACTGGATTTCTAACCAGGCTCAGGGTCACACACAAGACAAGCACCTTCCCCTTGGCACTATCTCTTTGGCCCCAATTCTATCCATTTTAAAGAGAATCATTTTCCAACCAAGAGAAGTAATAGATAAGAAAAAAAAAATAAGGCAAAAGAAAGAAAAAAAAAGGCAAAGTATTCAAAAAGGCCAAAATAAAAAAAAACAAAACACAACATAAATCATTCAAAATGTAGAGCTTCACTCATTTTTCTAATTTCGAATGGTGGTAGTTTGGCCCAGAGTGATAATCACCATGTAATCCATCAGGAAATGGAATAAAGAGAGGGCAGGTGTGTGACTGGTGGCCTGTGCCCTCACCTACAGAGCCCATATTTCAGTTTGAGGTTCATCTGTACACTCTTTTTTTTTTCTCATGGAAGAAATGTTTTATTTTCTATTTTAATTACAAAAAGATTGCCTTTTATTATGTCTTTTTTAATTTTTATGCATTTTAATTTATTATGCATTTTTAAATTTATTATGTCCTAATTTTTATTTTTATTGAATCACCGTGAGCTACAGTTACAAAGCTGTCATGTTGGAATTTCAGTCATACAATGATCAAACACCCATCCCTCCACCAGTGCACATTCCCCACCACCAATGTCCCCAGTATCCCTCCCTACATCCCACCCCTCCCCCTGTCTCTATGGCAAACAATTTCCCCCATACTCTCTTTCTACTTCTTGGCATTACAGTTTGCAGATGAGAGGTCATCATGTTAGGTCCTTGATCTACTTTCAGCACACATCTCCCATCCCGAACGATCCCTCCAACCATCATTGACACTGTGATCCCTTCTCTATCCCAACTGCCTTCTCCCCCAGCTCATGAGGCAGGCTTCCAACGATGGGGCAATATTCCTGGCCCTTGTGTCTACTGTCCTTGGGTGTCAGTCTCGAATTATGATATTTTATACTCCATAGATGAGTGCAGTCCTTCTATGTCTGTCCTTCTCTTTCTGACTCACTTCACCTAGCATGATACTCTCCATGTCATATGTACACTCTTTTTTTTTTAATTTTTATTAGTGAAACACCATGAGGTACAGTTGTAGACTTACAAATTTTTTGTGCTCAGATTTCAATTATACAATGATCAAATACCCATCCCTCCACAAGTGCCCATTTCCCACCACCACGGATCTCAGTCTCCCTCCCACCTCCAACCCCCTCATCCCACCCTGCCTCTGTGGCAGGGCATTCCGTTTAGTACTCTCTCTCTCCTTTTGGGTGTTGTGGTTTGCAAAAGAGGCATTGAGTGGCAATCATGTTTGGTCTACAGTCTATTTTCAGCATGCTTCTCCCATCCTGGGAGGATCCTCCCAACCAGCACCTCAAATGAGCACAACTCCTGAGACAGGCCAGGATGCCTTTTGAGATGCAAGTCCAACCCCTTCTCTCCTGCTGATAAAGACACAGACTTTCCCACCACCAGCCACAGCCCCTCAGGGACTCCAAGCCCACCACCTCGGAATGTCCAGCAGGAAGGTCCAGCCCCACCATGGATATTCCGCCATGATGGAACGGAATAACAGATGCTCAGAACTACAGAAAGGGGGCCGGGCCCGCCAGCAGAGTAAAGGCAGCCAGTCTCTAAAGAACCCCAGCTGCAGAGTCCTGGGAGAGAAAGGCGCCCCCCAGAGGCCAGACCATGGCTTTGGTGGAATTCGTAGCAGGAGTGTTTTGGAAAGTGAGTTCACAGTGGGCTTAAAAGGCCTGCCTCGGCAGTGCTGATGTTCTGGGTCCTCTCTTCCTTCTGCTCCCCCTCTGTGGGTGTCCAAAGGAAGTGTAAGCTGTATGAGGGCCCGGGGCTAGCCCAAACCT